AGTCTCCCTCTCCCTCTCTCTCCTCTCCTCTCCTCTCTCTCTCTCTCTCTCTCTCTCTCTCTCTCTCCCCCTCCCTTCCTCCCTCCCTCCCTCCCTCCTAGGTCAAGCCCCTCCTCTCCCTCCACGACCAGCTGAGATGCCACCTCCCCCAGAAAGCATTCTCTGAGTGCTCAGTCACAGACTGAGATGTTCTTTCTTTAGGAACCCAGAACACCCTCACCATTTGTTTGCTTAACTTTTTCAAACAGATACAATTACATTGACATACTATTACAAGGCTATTACATGTATCACTTCCACTAACAACTCAGAGGTCCTACAATATCACCAACACTGTGCAGGATACTGTGTGGGACGCAGAAATTGTAGAAATCGGGGCCCTTGCCCTGGAGAGTCTCGCAAACATTTGAGTGACTCCCATTTAGAAAGCAATGGGCTAAATGGGAGGAGAGGGAGAGAATAAAAGGGCAGGTCCTTGTCCTTGGAAAGTTATGGAAACATAGGAAATGATTAGGATAATAAAAGGCGACATATATTAATGTGTGAAATTGCCTGAACCCTATTCTGTAGTCGTGGGTCAAGTCAACTTGGGTTTCACTCTTCTCACCGTGAGCGTTCAGCTCAGTCCTGGCACTCCACAGGCACCTCCAAAGGTGGTTTTGTTTTTTTTTGTCATCCCACTGTATTAGCAGCATCTATTTACTGTGCAATTTACATTCTGCACGTGTATTAAGGGTAGGAGTGGATTTATTCATGGTTGGGGAACCTGGCTTTGACAGACCCTGGCACACCATGAGTTCTAGCATTCTCGTTGCCAGGCAATCTTGCAATCAATCACCAAAGTCCAGGGACTCTGGGGGCAAGACCCCCACCCAGGGCCTGGTACATTGGAGGCCTCAGAAAGCATCAGTTAAGAGGACAATGATTACGCGCCCCAGCGTTTAGGTTAAGTTAGTGTCCCGCCCTGCCCTTGCCTGCAGCTACGAGCTGTAACCTGGGGATGAAATGGGAGGGCAGATCTCAGGGTAACAGTGGTGATGCTTGGTAGGGGGGCCCTCGGCCACCACCACCTGCCCAGCAGGTAGCCCTCCTTCATCTTCTCCCATTATCTTGACTCCACCGACCGGGTCTGGCATCTGGGTTCGACCCGGAGCCCCGCCACACCCCTCAGCGTGCCCCGGCCCGCCAGCCCCCACCCGTCTCTCCCGCCTCCCCTCCCTCGCCGGTCTGTCTAGTGGTCCCTTACCCGCCCTCGACTCCATCGCGACGCCGTCAGTAAGCGACAACACCTGGATCGGGGGCGGCGCACAGTGACATCACCCGCGCGCGCGCGCGCGCGCGCGCGCGCTCTCCCTGCGCCTGCGCACTGACTCCCATTGCGGGCCGTGGCATCTCCGCCAAGGACTGGTGGGCCCGGGCCTGGCGCGCATGCGCCTGCGACTCCGTGGGCCGGGTGAAAGGAGCTGCGTTGCGGGGGAGACGCGCGAGGCTCAGTGCCCGTGGTTTTGTCCATGGAGCACGTCTTCATTGACAGCCTGCTCCGACGGGCGTTTGCCGAGCTCTGGGGCTACCGAGGTGCACAAGCCCCTGGCCTCTCGGGGCCCACTGCTGATTTTAGCATACCCTACCTCTTCTGGTTCCCAGAAGCCGCCTCCTCCGGGAACCCGGCCCTGACTGCTCCTCCAGGACGAGATTCCTCTCCTCTGACACAGACCGTGCTCAGCTGGGGACATCTGTTTAACATGTCAGGTTGCTGGAGTGGGATTCACTGGGTTTGGGGTCAGGCCCAGCTCCGCCACTGGTTGAGCCCTATGCGGCTGGAGGCCACACTTTGGACCCACATGCCTTAGGTTGGACCGTGTCCTCTGGATCTCCTGGAGACTGAAAGAACGTGACGGCCTACGTTTGCTCGTCTACATCATTCATTCATTTGTTCTCTTGTTCATTCAATACTTAGGATGTCAATCCAAGGGCCACTGGAAGCGATGGGGCTGAATTGACAGCAAAGTCCATGGCTTCCCCCTGCTCCAATCTAGCGGGAGCGATGACAAGGAGGGTCAGTTTGGCCTTGTCTTCAGGCATTCGGAAGATAACCCTTTCCCCCTAAACGAGGGGGGAACCGCGCCACTAGCACCCACTCCCTATGAGTGATTGCGTGCCCTTAAGCCATGTGCCTACCACATGATATGCACTCAAGAAGTGGTAGCTACTTTTCAAAATTATATATCCAATATTTCATACAATCCTTGCAACAAACTTGTGAAGTAGATAAAGCATTTTAATACCCATTTTCCAGATAGGGAAAATGAGTTGCCAGGTGTCCCAGTGACTTATTCAAGGTCTCATGGAACTGATTCTATGCCATTTGCTTTCATTAGATAGAACATACTTAATGATAAACAGTAATAAACAATGCTACTAATGTGCCAGGCTCTGGGCTTAAGTGCCTTAGAAGTCATATCTAAATATAATCCCCACAACACCCCTCGATGGCATCTGTGACCAGCATTCTAGAAGAGGAGGAAACAGACTCAAGATGTTGAAGAAAGCCACCGGGCTGGGAAGGGGCAGAGCATGATGTAACCCTGGTGTGCTTAATTGCAAGTCTGGTCACAACTCTGCATGCCTAGGTGGTATCCCTGGCATTGATGCAGAAAGGCATTAATGGGCCTTAGTGCTACGTGGAAGTGGCCATGTCTTTTACCAGGCTTGCAAAAGGAGTTCAAAGCATCACTTGGGACCATAGAAGGTTATAAAATGAAATCTCTCAGAGAGGATGGATGTCTTTTCTCACTTTTAGGAAAACACAATAGATCTGTGCAAAGTGTTTTATGCAAGTTTTCCTGGCCCCAGCGGTGGAAATGTGTGCAGGACTCATTGTTAGCCAGCTGTGCTCAGAGCAGAGACCAGGCTGCTAACCAAGGACCCAAGTCCCTCCAGTGGCCAGCCTGGCACATCCCCTGGATGGTAACAAGACACCGGGGACAATCTCCCCAGTGGCACTTTTAGAAAGCAGGTGGTGCCAGAAGGAAAGGACATTCCACTTAGCTTTTTTACACCAGGTTTTCAAGTTAAAAGTGCCCCTGAAAGCCCATGTACTTAAAAGAATAAATAATTATAAAAGACCTGCCTTAGGAGAAATTAGCTGGCTCTCTTGTAAAAAGATATTCTAGAGCTTTAATCCAAATGCATCAAACTTGATCATATATGTCCATTTGCATTTGGTCACTTGAGAATTTTTTAAAATAGGCTTTATTATTGTTTAAAGCAGTTTTAGGTTCGTAGCAAAATTTAGAGGAAGGTACAGAGAGTTCTCCCACACACCACCTCCCCCACCATAGCAGTAGCTTTGTTGTAATGGATGAATCTACATTGAAGCATCATTATCACCATAGACTGGAGGTTCGTGTCCCCCCCACATTCGTATGTTGAAATCTAATCCCCGGTGTGATAGTGTTAGGAGGTGAGGCCTATGGGAGGTGATTAGGTCATGAGGGCAGAGCCTTTTTAAAAAAGATTTTTATTGGGGAATTGGGGGGATGGGAACAGTGCTGGAGAATTGGGGAAGGGGAACAGACAAGTTGCTGTCCTTTTGTTCTTCAGTCTAGTTGTGGAGGACGTTGCTTCACTGGCCCAAGTTGGCACCATCATTGCGCTCTTCCCGGGCGAGGCAGATCAGTCGCCGGCTTCTGGACGGCTGCTCACAGTGGCTGCTGGCTGCTCATGCTGGCTGCTGGCTGCAAACAGTAGCCCATGGCAACCCACTGCCACAGGGGCTGCAGCCGCCGTCGCCGGCGACTCACGGCAGCCCAGCTCCAGGTCGAGCTGTTGTTCAGCATCTTAGCTGTAGAGGGCAGTGTCCCTGGCCCTCATATGTGGGATCCGAACCGGGGTCCTCTGGCGTCCCAAGCCAGTTCTTAACCATCGTGCCACTCGGCCGGCCCAAGGGCAGAGCCTTTATCAAAGAGCTTCCTCGCCCCTTGCACCTTTGAGGACACTGTGAGAGGAAGGCTGTCTATCAAATAGGAATAGGGCTCTCCCCAGACACCTAACCTGCGGGCACTTTGTTTTGGACTTCCCAGCCTCCCAAACTGTGAGAAATAAATGTCTGTTTAAACCCCCCAGTCTATGGTATTTTGTTATGGGAGCCCAACGTAGGACACACCCAAAGTCCACAGTTTGCATGAGGGTTCACTCTTGGTGTTGTACATCTATAGGTTTGGACACATGTATAATGACATGGATCCGCCATCATGGCATCCTATAGAGTAGTTTCACTGCCCTAACAGTCCTCTGTACTCCACTGATTCATCGCCACCCCCCAGCGACCACGGATCTTTTTACTGTCATCGTCATTTGCCTTTTCCTGAATGTCGTAGAGATGGACTCACACAGTAGGTAGCCTTTTCAGGTTGGCTTCTTTCACTTAGCCATATGCCTTTAAGTTTCCTCCATGTCTTGTCACGGCTTTATAGCTCATTTCTTTTTAGCTCGGCGTACTATTTCATTGCCTGGACGCACCACGGTTTATCCATTCACTTACTGAAGGACATCCCACTTGTTTCCAAGTTTTGTCAATTATGTATACAGTTGCTATAAACATTCGTGTGCAAGTTCACATGAGGATGTTAAAGCTTGTCATAGGCATTTCCTTATGAATTCTCACAACACCTTTAGAACCTGGCTGGAAGAAATATAGTGAAAAAGGTAAGCGGGTGAAAAGCTTGGCTGTGGAGCTCTGAGCTGTGTGATTTTGGATAATTAACTCTACCTCTCTGAGCTTCAGCTGCCTCTTCTGTAAAATGTGGGGAAGTGCTTCCTCCATTAGAGTCAGTGAGATGACCTACTGGGCTGGGTTACTGGGGGACTAGGCACAGTGCCTGCCCAGCCCTCAGCAAGCAGGCTAGAGGTGTTAGGGTTCATTGTTCCCTAACGGCCCTGTTAGAGCCACAGGAGAAGTCAGGTGTTGAGAGATGAGGTCCCCAGTGATTCACTCAGGGTGCTGGGGCTCTGAGAGCTAAACCTCTTGCCCAGCGTGTTTCTGAAAACGCCAGCACTTCCAGCCCCTACCTTTCACAAGTATGGGCTTAAAACAGTCTACATCACGTTCAGCTTTCAGCTCTCTGACTTTTCCCTGCATCATAGTCACAGACACACACAACTCTTCAAGTGCTAAAAAGAAAAAAAAAACATAATAATGTGAGTAATTTTAATAACAACAACGCCTGGCTCCTGAGAAGCTACAAAATTCCCCTCCACCTTCAGGCATTCCTGTGTCAACCGGCTCTGCTTCTGATCTATGTGCGCTCTCCCATCCTGGGATCAGGCGAGGCCCATCCATCAGCACCGGCATTTCATGGGAGATTGTACTTTGCCAAGACGAGGATGCCTGGAGGGTCACAATGATGCCTTGCCATTCCCACTGCCACCACCCAGGCCATGGCTGTCTCACCATGCCTCAGACTACCACCACCTCCTGCCTCCCCACGCTGTCCCCTACCTGGGTCTGGGTCTGCCTCCTCTGCCTCCTCCTCCTCTTCCTCCCGCTAGTCCTTTTTTTTTTTTTTTTTTTAGCTGAGCCATCCTGCCACCTGTTGGCAGCTCAGCAGCAGCTCAGCTCCGGCCGGGCCGGCATCGAACCGCTGTTGCTCAGAGCTCACACTCTCAAGCGAACTCTTAACCAACTGAGCCGCTTGGCCGGCCCTTTCTCCCCCTGTTCCTTTGCTTTCCTTTTCCTGCCCCCTTCTCCCCCACACACCTGATTTCCTGAATTCTACCTGTACACCCTCCAGCCGTGACCTCGGGGCTCCCCACTGCCTCCACCTGGCTCAGCACAAACTTCTCACCTGCACAGATAGTCCGGGCCTTGCCTGACCACCAACTTGCATGCCCAGCCTTATCGCTCAGTCAGACTATAACCCTATCAGCTCAACTCTGCCTTTCTCCTTTTTCCGGGTTTGGTTCATGTTTTTCACATCCCAGAAATGCCCTCCCCGCCCCACCCCAACTTTCACAGGTCAAAAATCCCACCCCAAACAGGCCTGGGGACTAGCAGGAGGGAAGGGTGTGGCACCAACAAACTCCTCTAACAAAGCAGGGACTCCACAAACACGGGAAAGTTGCTGGAAGAGCAGTGAAAATGAAGAGGCACGACTTACAGGCACAAAGGCAACCTGCAGAGGAACTGAAAAAAAAAAAATCTCCACGGGAAGCTGTGCAGGGACAGAGGGAGGTTTTGGCATCCTCAGGTGAACCCAAGCGCTAATTTAAAATATACACACTGTGCACCAATTACACAACAGGGATAACCGGGAGC